TGTGTGTGTGTGTGTGTGTGTGTGTGTGTGTGTGTGTGTGTGTGTGTGTGTGTGTGTGTGTGTGTGTGTGTGGGAGAGAGATTTTAGGGAAAACATAGAAGTGAAGGGGAATGACAAAAAAGGGCTGCAGAAAAAGAAATATATACAAAAATCCTGGGTTAAACGAACAGATTTGTTTTCCTGCTGTACATAAATACACAGCAGAGCAGAGGTTTGAGACAAATACAAAATTTAATCTCCTCAAAAAATTCTTTTCCCAAGGGCTAATTAATTTTTTTTTATGACCCACATGGGAAGGATCAGAGCAGTCCTCACAAATTAAATCTGGATCACACTGGGTTAGGCTCTGACGATTTAAAAATTTTACATCAGTAACAAAGTGCTGGCATCGAACACTGAGCTGCATACATATTTGGTGATGGTGGATGTGGAACTAGAAAACACACCATTAAGTACACCTGTCAGTCAAAAATTAGATTTCTCTGATAGTAATGTAATTACTGTATGTAATATGAACACGAGAATCATTACTTGTATTTGTTCTCATAATTCACTGACTGCAAGGTATCATTAAAGAGACATTTCTTTTAACTGCTACATTTCAACATAATTAAGAAAGCCAAGATTCTGTTGTCATCATTACAATATATCATTTCCTTGTCCTAGGTAGTCGCAAAGGCCCTTCATCCCATACATCCTGGCCGGAGCCTCTCCCCAGCCCCCCACAATCCCAGTTCTACCCATCAGGGTTAACAAGCCAGACCAGTGGGGAGTCCAACCCTTACATCAGCCTTGACAGTCCCCCTCCCTCACCTCCAGAACCCCCTGACTACCCGTCTAGCCCCCCTGCTCACCGCAGCAGCAAGCGCCGTTACACCTTCTCCAAACCGCCTCGCTCTGAAGACACGGACCGCTTTCTGGATGCACTGAGCGAGCAGCTGGGACAGAGGGTGGCAATTGTCGATGACTTCTTGACTCCTGAAAACGACTATGAAGAGGTAGAATCACATTAACACTGCACCAATTTTGCAAAGCACTGAAATGAAATTATCATCGAGTAACTGTTTAGCTACTGGGAAAACTAATGTTTAACTTTTCACAGTAATCAAAACTCCTTTAATTTCTACAAGGTGCTTTATGCAGTAAAAAATAAAATGCCTGTTAAATCCTTTGTGGCCACAAAGCACAGGACACACAAAGACATTGTTCTGTGTTTGTAATAAAAGATGCTGGGACATGTTTCCCCAGTTTGTTTAATATAAGATTTCAACAGTTTACCAGTTTAGTCTCTCTTGTTGTATAGGTCAATCTGTCTCATGCCTCTGGCTCCTATTTTGGAGTAGGTTATCTGCTTATATTTTTATTTTTGCAGTACAACATGTCATATTTGCTCAATCCAGCATGAAAGATGAATAAAAATTGTCTTTTCTTTATTTTTGTGACTAAGAATTGCATGTTTTAAAGGGTTCTATGTGCTTTATTTTAAAGTATTATGAAATTATCTTTGACCAGAATAGTCTGTTACCCTCAGTGAATTTCTGTTGTTTCTGTGACTTCAAAACAACATCATAAAGCATCATTAAAATTTACTGCCAATCTTAAGGTTTTCTCATAGGTGGACTGCCTTGACCTTGGTGTTTTTAAAATCAAAGACAATTTATAGAATAATATGTGTCATAGAGAGAGGTTCACAAGCTGTTGTTGACCTGACAAATAAATCTTCAAATGAAAGAGCATGTAAAGGATTTAAAAACTTAACTGCAGCATTTGCATTGAAATACATTGAGGAGGTTGTAGAGAACCTGCTTACACATTTATGTATTTTATTTCTGGTTAACTCTTGTAGTTTGACAAATGTACCAAAAAAATCCACTTTGGCATTAGGTCTAATGAAGTGTAATTGGTGTTAATGCCAGGATGTTGTGCAGATGGGCTTCCCAGATGAAGAGGATGATGATAATGAAGACGATTTGGTGGTGGATGAAGAAGAAAGTGGAGGATTTGTCGCTCCAGAGCTCAGCAGCCCGAGTGATGTCCAGAGCAGCAGTGGAGAAGAAAATGCCTCATCTCTGACCTACTCATCTTCCTCTGATCACATTCCCCCACCGCCCATGACCCCTCCTCCACCCCCACCAGTCCAGTTCAATGATCCACCTCCGCCTCCTCCGCCCCCAGCACCTGCACAGAGTCAACCGCAGCACCAACAGCAGCAACAGCAGCAGCAACTAAGCTACACTCCCGAACACTCCCCAAGAACATACGTGCCCATCCGCCGGAAATCCGGCCCTCCTCCCCCACCTCCTCCCCGCAGTAATCCACCACCTAAACGCCACTCCTTGCATAAAGTCCTCCCTACAAGGGAAGACCTACAGGTGCATGCTACCATACAAGAGCTAAAAGCCTACCAAGAGCAACAAGCCTACCAGGAAAGGCAAGCCTATGAGGAGCAACAGGCGTATAAGGAGAGGCAGGCATATGAAGAGCAAAAAGCCTTTGAAGAACAACAACTCCTGCAAGAGCAGCAGGCCTTGCAGGAACAACAAGCTTATCAAGAGAAACTTTTCAAAGAGAGACAGGCTTATGAAGAGCAGAAGGCATTCGAGGAGCAAAAAGCTTTTGAAGAGCAACAGTTGTACCAAGAGCAACAGGCCTACCAAGAAAGACAAGCGTACGAGCAGCGTCAAGCCTACCAGGAGCAAAAAGCATATGAACAGCGTCAAGCCTACAAGGAACAAAAAGCATTCGAGGAGCTTCAAGCCTACAAGGAGCAAAAAGCATTCGAGGAGCTTCAAGCCTACCAGGAACAAAAGGCCTATGAGGAGCAAAAAGCCTATGAGGAGCGACAAGCCTATAAGGAGCAGCAAGCGTATCAAGAGCAACAGCTGCAGCAGATCTACCAGAGCCACCACTCGATGCCTGCCCAGCCAACGCAGCAGAAAGCCCATTCACCTCTTCCTCTTCAGTCCTTACCTCCTCTTCCCTCTCCAGACTCCGTCCATCACCACGCAAACCACCCTCTTTACATGATGCGCCAAGCACAGCAGCAGCAGGCCCACCAGACTCATCATCACCGACGTCTGTCCCGTTCTGCGCCTCCCCCACACCAGCCGCCACCCCAACCAACAGGCCATCCCAGCCAACAAGGTCAGTACGTAGAGGGCATCTACCAAAGTCATCAGAGTGTAAGACCCCAGCCCCACCATTCCTCAACTGAGATGCTCCACCAGATGCACCAAGCCCCGGCTCATCATTCCTCAGCTGAGGTGCTGCACCAGTTGCAGCAATCCCAGGCCCACCACTCATCTGCTGAGATGCTTCAACAGATGCAGCAAGTCCATGCCCACTACTCATCATCAGAAGTGCTCCACCAAATGCACAAATCCAAGGCCCATCATTCGTCAACAGAGCTCCTGCACCAGGCTCAACAGATGCAGCAAATACAGCCTCTCCACTCCTCCACCGAACTTCTCCACCAAGCCCACCAGATGCATCGAGGACAGCCCCACCATTCCTCAACTGAGCTGCTCCATCAAATTCATAAACCCCAGGCGCACCACTCCTCTACAGAGCTTCTTCATCAGGCTCATCAAATGCACCAACCCAAGCCCCATCACTCCTCCACAGAGCTTTTGCATCAAACCCAGCAAGAGCCTGCATCCCTCCCAGTTCAGCTGAATCGGGATGGGCACTCCCATCAGAGCAGGAGAAGTCTAAAGGGCCATCATCAAACTGAAGTGTCGGTGCAGGGGAGGCACCAAGAGCAGCAGATCCACCAAACCCACCACCCCCAGCCCACAAAACCCTCCCCCCAGAGACCCCACTCTATCCAGCAGACGCACCACCATTCCAGCACTCCTCAGATCCACCACATCCATCACATGACCCCACAGCCACCTCCTCAGGACTACCAGCACCAGATTCAGGTCATCCACCCTCCCCAGCAGCCTCACAGGCCCCAGCCCCTTCTCTCCACGTTTCAACCCCTGCAGCCACACCAACCCACCCTCTCCACTTTTCAGCCACTGCCTCAACACCCCCAGTCCTCCACCCAAACTGCCCGCCCACAGTCACAGCCCTCGCATCATTTGCTGCAATCTCAACACCAGTCACAATCCCAGCCTCACCATAAACAATCCCACAGCCAGAGCCAGCCCCAGTCCCTCCCCCACTCTCTTTCTGACCCCACGGAGCACCTAGAGCCCCCACCACCTCCTCCTCTTCCCCCACCCTGCTCCCCTCCACCTCTACCAAGACCTAGTCTGTCCAGAATGGACTCCAACCATATGAGTGTAAAGAGGCTGCGCTGGGAGCAGGTGGAAAACTCAGAAGGGACAATATGGGGACAGGTGAGTTCTGATTGGAAGCCAAAGCTTCTCAAAGTGCCACCGAGTTTAGATTTAGAATTTTAAATGTAAAATATTTTGCAAAACTATAACATTTAGACCTTTTTTAAACAAAAAAAAAATTGTGTTTCTAACAGTTGGGAGCAAATTCTGACTATGAAAAACTGCATGACATGGTGAAGTATCTGGATCTGGAGCTGCACTTTGGAACACAGAAGAGCGCCAGTGAGTATAAGGGGCTGTGTGCCTAACTGGAGTGCTTTTATCTGTGTGCACAGCTAAATATTCATAAGAGTTAGGGAAGCCCAGTATAAAGAGTGAAAAATACTTTGATTAGTGATTCATTTGATGGGAAGACAACATTATACGTCAACATATCAGGTTTTCAGATGTCTTTAATCACAGTCCAAGGATACAGAGATTTTTAAACAAAGAACGAGGCAGCTTCCTCTTTGGGTTGAAGGACCTTGGCTTGATCTGTCATTGTACTCTATATAATTTGCCTCTAAGAAATCAATGTAAGCTATGTAAAAGGAAAATTTAGACTAAATCTGTTTGTCCAGTCTCTCTCATCTACCTTTCTAAATTTTGACATTTAACTTCCCCGGTCTAATTTTCAGTGCCTGCCCCAGAACCATCCCCTCAGCTAGAAACCTTCAAGAAGAAAGATGTTATAGAAATTCTGTCCCATAAGAAAGCTTACAATGCCTGTGAGTATGACTGCCTTTAATAAAATTTTTCAAATGTCATTTGTAATTAAGATGTCAAGATGAAAGTTAGAAACCATAGTTGTAGCTCTGTGAATCAGAGTTAAGTACTTTGATGATGATTATCTTCTGCCTCTAGCCATCCTGATAGCCCACCTGAAGCTGTCTCCAGGGGAACTGCGTCAGATTTTGATGAACATGGCCACAGACAGGCTGGAGCCAGCCCACATTAAACAGCTGCTACTGTATGCCCCCGATGCAGAGGAGGTCAAAAAATATGAAGAGTATAGACAGGACCCCAGCAAACTGAGCGAGCCAGATCAGTTTGTGCTGCAGGTACAGTTTTGGTTTACCGTTACCGGGCTACTTTTGAGTTTCATTGATCTTGCATTTATCTTGATCTGCCTGTTGTGCATATATCAGATGTTATCAGTACCGGAGTACCAGACCCGCCTCCAGTGCCTCCTCTTCAAGTGTTCTCTTCAGGAGAAGACAGAGGAGCTGAAAGGAGCATATGACTGTATTTACAACGCCTCCATGGAGCTGAAGACCAGCAAGAAGCTAGCTAAAATACTAGAGGTAGCCCATATGTTCAGAAAGGTTATGTCACTGTAGATTAGAAACACATGAAAATACCACATACTTTTTTGACTAGTCTGTGAGATACTGATAAGAGACAGAGTCACTGTAGAAGCAAAGAAGGACATTCGCTAAATTATGTCTTTTTTGTGTGAAAGAAGAAGAAAAAAAGAAAAATTAAATTACTGGAGCAAAAAAATTACACTCATAAACTAGGGGTGAAAATTAACGATCAAGCTAAATTACTGTTGATACAATAACAGATCTGCTTACTAATTTGTGCCCTGTTTAGTTTGTGTTGGCGATGGGGAACTACTTGAATAACAGCCAGCCTAAAACCAACAAAACTACAGGCTTTAAGATCAACTTCCTTACAGAGGTACACCGAATGATATTTAACATATTATGGAGTATTTATGTATGGGCTTGCATGTGTATTTTATGACTCCACAATATCACGTGCAGCTGAGCACAACTAAAACAGTGGACGGGAAGTCAACATTTCTGCATATCCTGGTTAAATCGTTATGTCAACATTTCCCGGATGTGTTGGATTTTTCCAAAGATCTTACGATGGTTCCACTTGCAGCAAAAGGTAGATACATACATTTGCCTTTTAACATTCGTTGAGAGTGCCAAAAATGTACTGGCACGATTGTCAAATTTAAGTGGTTGTTTTCATTTTGGCTAGATCTGCTTTTTGTCTCTGAGCATCTTTTTCCTCTTGCCTCTGGTTTCCTATGTTGCACGCACACCTGCTTTTAGTAAACCAGAGGAACATCACCTCCGATCTGAATGACCTTCATACCACAATCCAGGACATTCGCTCAGCTTGTCAGAAGATGCCTGCGACCTCTGACGACCGCTTTGCTGTTGTCATGAGTGTATCCTTAAAACCCCCTCACTGGGGTCAGGGGACAAAGAAAACACTATGTAGTAAATAAGATTAAACATTTTTGTGCCTTAACTCTGTGGTGTTAAGAATTTCCTGGAAAACAGTCATCCTGCAATCCAGTCTCTGGAGTCTCTCCAACAGAGAGCCATGGAAGAATTCAGCAAGACTGCCTCCTACTTTGGAGAAGACGGCAAAGCCACAAATACCGAGGCCTTCTTTGGTATCTTTGCCGAATTCATAAACAAGTTTGAGGTGAGCAGGAAATATTGAGCCATTCTTCATTCAAATGATTATCTTTGTTGCGTCTGCAGCATATTTCCTTTGTAGTTCCCTCCCAGCCGTCTCAGTTGCTTTTGCTCAACCGCTTGTGATGCATAACCTAAAAGGTTGCAGATAAACAGTTGCACTGTGTTATCATCTGATGACTGCCTCATTACTTGCTATATTTTCTGCTTTGCCAGTGTTTTTATTTTTAGAGAGGGCCGTGCATTGTGTTTAGTAATGAGCACTGTCTGCATTAAATCAAAAAAGCACTCTGCTAGGTTACAGCACTGATAATGAGCTTCATGATGTAAACTAGCAGGGCCACTTTGTAAACACTCAGCATTCATTAACGTGTTCCAGCCCGCCAGACGTTTGATATTGGAGGTTTTAGATGCTATACTTTAAATTTTAAAAAAGCAGAGTTTTGAAAAATGTAACACTGTTTTGCATATTTCTATCATTTGCATTTAGTGTTCAGTATGTTAAGTGCAGCAGCTCTTTGCTTTTCCTTTTTCCTCTGCTGCTTTTTCTTTTTGAACTTTGCTGTGCTTGTGGTTTTCAAACTTATCAAACTTTTATTTATTTTTTTTTGTTTTTTTACACCTGTTTATTAACATTTCTATGTAGTGAGTAGACCACATGAATAAAAGTACAGGGCTACACCTCTTTGTCTATGATTTCAGGTGTATAAAATCAAGTACCTGCCCGTACCTTCTGGTTTTTATAAACATCACTGGGATAAGTCAGTTCATGAAGTTTCTCACCTCCCAGATATTCCACAATCAACTCTAAAAGGTGTTATTGAAAAGTGGAGGTGTTTAAGAACCACAGCAGCTCAGCTACAAAGGGGCAGACCAAATAAAGTTAAGAGCAGAGTCAGCCAGTGCAACCTACATCATTAACATCAGCGCAAAAACTGTGCACCTGGAGCTTCATGGCATAGGTTTCCATGGCTGAGCACCTCCTGCAGGTGTACTGTACACATGGCCCAGTACTTTTGTCCATATAAGGCACGCACAACGACTGTCACAAAAAATACAAATATATATCTAGAAATATTACATATTTCAATAAGCAGGATGCATGCAACAAAGCAGTAGGTTAGAAAAACTAAAAATAATACTACATGGAAAAACAAAGGATGTATATAAAAGTAAATTAAAAGAAAATCCTGCATCATCTTTTTTCTGCATTTCTTTGCCACAGAGAGCTCTGAGTGATCAGCAAGTCGCTGAAATCCCAAAAAGCCCCAGGAGTCCACGAATGGCCTCCCCGCTGGCCTGGTAACACACATGCACGTGTGGAGATTACAACATGCAGTTGTTCATACAGAACAAAGTATACCCAAGTACACAAACATCCTATATACATATACCAGTATATAAATACACTAACATACAAGCACATAAACCACACATCACAACACCAAGCAAAAAAAACAAGTTAGATGAAGGGAAAAGCAGAAACATTGGCATCAAAGACAGATAATGTAGCTTTAGACCAGTGTTGTACTATATTATATGTATCTTCAATGATGAAGACCAGTCAGTAGACTGCAACCTTGTTTAACCTTCAGGATAACTCTGCTGTTTGATAGTCGCTCAGTAACATCGCATAGTTTAAGTAATATTTCTCTAAGCCCTCTAAGTTTAGGTCATTGAGCACCTGCATAGTGCGGTACGACAATGATTTAATAAAATCTTTGTGGCATAACCACGATTAAGACATAGATCCAAAAATAGATATTTAATTTAAATATATTCACACTCGTTGGTTCAGATGAAAGTACAAAAAGCAGTTTTTGAATTAGTTTGACCTTTTTAAGGTGCCCACCGCACTGAATGTAACCTAAATTCTTTACTAAGTGATGCTTGTTTTCTTAAGTAAGTCCTCAGCTTAGGATGCATTCTTTGCAGCACTCCTTTAGTTTCAGTGGAATTTTCCATTTTCTACCATGCCAGCTGTGGTGGTAAGATTTTTTTTTTTGTATTGCTGTTGTATAATGCTTAACTCCTGACCCTACCAACTTGTGTATATGAATCATTGGCTCAAAGTCACTGTTGGTGGAATTTTCCATCTCAAACCGTGCCAATATACCAGTAGGATTTATTTATTTTTTGGATTGTTCATTTTGTTTCTGCATTGCTCCTATATAATGCTTTACTTCTTATCCTACCAACATGTACGTATATAAAGGTGACACTGGCTCCAGTCTCGAAGACACTGATAACAGATTGCCGAAGTGGGATTATGTGGATCTTACAGCGGGCACTGTGCAATAAATGAATGTTTAACTGTAGTCCACTGTTTGGTGTTATATCTATTAAAGTGTAAATAGGGATTATATTGTGCGTGTGGACTGTACAGAATAAGCCAGAATATGAAGAAAACATACGCTACAATTTATAAAGCACTTTGTTACTTTAATGTATTACCCAAGTATTTCTTTTACTGAATGTGTGATATGATGGGACCATAGAGTTATACCACTGAGAGGGCGAAATATCATATCGTGTAGCAGCATTTGATATCATTTTCACACACAACTAATAACGCAGTATACCAGCTGTTCAGATATTCCAGTGCTTTGTAAAAACTGAAGCTTATAGCTAATATTTTTTGAAATCATAAGACAAATTATTACGGTAACAGTCACGTGTGCAGTCAGTAAAACCTTTGTTTTCTAATGGTATAAGTTGTAATGTTCTGGCTAAAGTACAGAATGTAAACCTCTAAGGCACTGGCGTTCATTTAAGGCCTACTAAGTGTTAAGTCTGTGTTTTGTATTGTAATCTAAATCTGACAAATATAAAGAGCTGTGTGAGATCCACATTTGGGTGAATGTCTTCTTCAGAACTTAAGCTGTCTTTATACAGGAATGCTGAATGGACTGTATTTATGCCAGGGCAAAATCAAACACCTCATATACCCGTGTCCTTACAACCTGATTACTGCTCCACATGGCATTGCTGCAACCAGTTAATCTCTGCTACTGAGGTGCAGTGTTAATGAGCCTTTGTCTTTGTAAGATAAGCCTGTATCTGCATTTTTCTCTCCTGGACGTGAACACACACACACAATCTCAATGTTACTTTGATAGCATACTATCACTGCCCACATCTTTAGTGTATTTTACATGCATTTAACACATTCAGCAATCACAGTTATTTTACTGGCAACGGGACTCTGTTGTGAAAAGACTTCCCTGTGTGGAGTAATAAATCTCTTACATTTTAACTACACCGTGTCGTGGACGAGGTAAAAGTGGAGTTTGATCTTTTGGAATGGAAGTGGAAGAAGCTTTGATTCCCAAGTCATTCGTGACACATTTGTGAATCGGTTGGCTTGCACGAGTTGACTTGCAGAGAGCCCAGCTGGAATGATACAAAGTGTGACGGTGTACTGAAAGGTAAGCTTGTTTTATTCAATCAATATCCAACAGAAAGCCAAAGAGGGTAAAATGGCGAGCTGCAGTTGTTGCCGTTATCTCAGATATAGCTGTTTTGTCATTTTTAATTCTACTATATTGGAGGAACTTTGACTAAGTCTTAAACAAGCCAGCAGATGTGTTTAAGAGTGAAGTACTTTTGGTGCTGTATAAAGCAGTCTGTCTGACATGGTGGTCAACTCAACTGCACACGCGTACATATACTCATTGGCCACTTTATTAGGTACACATTGGGTTGCACAACTGCTCATGAAGGCAAATCTTTAATCATCTAATCACATGGCAGCAACTGTGCCAACTCAAGAGGACATGCTGAAGTTCTAACCAAGCATTGGAATGGAGGGTTTTTTTTTTTATTAAGGTTGTTTGTGCAAGATGAGCTCGTCTAAATATTTCAGAAATTTTTGATCTGCTGGGATTTTCCCACACAACCAGGGTTTCAGAGAATAGTCCAAGAAAAGAGAGAATATCTAGTGAGCAGCAGTTCTCTGGGAGAAAATGCCTCAGACTAGAATGGCCAAACTGCTTCAAGCTGACAAGAAGGCAAATACACACTTGTTGCCACTAAGGTATGCAGAGGAGCTTCTCTGAACACACAACATGTCAAATGTTTAAAGTAGACATGCTACAGTAGCAGAAGACCACACCGAATACCACTGCTGTCAGCTAAGAACAGGATACAGTTCACATGGATTCACCAACATTGGACAAAAGGAGACTGTAAAAATGTTGCCTGGATGATGAGTCTTGATTTCTGCTGCACATTTGGATAGTAGAGTCAAGGTCAAGGTAACTTTATTTATACCCATAGGCAAGGTAAATTTGCTTTACAGAAAAATGATAGCATTTGGCATCCCTTCAAAAAAATAAAATAAAAAAAAAGATTTGGTGTAAACACCATGAAAGCAAGGATCCACTCTGTCAACAGTTCAGACTGTGGTGGCACAGGAGATTCCTGTCACATACGGTCAGCTGAGAAATCTGCAGCAACTGTGTGATGCTTTCGTGTCGATCTGGATCAAAATCTCTGAGAAACGTTTGCTAAACTAACTGAATTTATGCCATGAAGAAAAAAGCCAGTCCAACCCAGTTCTAGCAATGTGTAAAAAAAAAAAGTCTGGTAATTGGATTTTATGTCTGTGTTTAAGGTGAAAAGAATTTTCTACTTCATTCACTGTCGGCTCCTGAGACTGACTTTAAATTCTTGGATTCCAGATGACCTTTGACCTTCCAGTAGAACGCCAGGGGACCAGCGTGCCCCCATCCCCATCCACATCGCCATCTCCAGGGCATGGCAGTACGCTTGACACCGTGGATATAGTGGTGCTGGTAATCTATTTTCTACTGGTGCTGGGAGTCGGCCTATGGGTAAGCACAGAAAATGATACCAACATTTTTACATGGCGATCTGTATTCTTTGTCATACAAACTAAAACGAATTCAGATCTAATGCCTTTAAATATAAAACATATTGTGAAGACCTCTGTATAGTATCTGTATCAGTGCTTTTTTCTTACTTAATCTTTGCAATCGGCAAATGTCCTTCAATGAGAGCTGAGTGATCTGTATCAACCTTTATCAGAATTTACATTCCACTTTTTTATATTGCCCCTTTTCTTGCCCTTCTCCTATAATTAACTTCCTTTGATAACCTGGATGCTCACAAATGGAGATTAAAGATCATATTACTGTCCAGCGACAGTAAGAATGCAGTGTTTTTTTGTTGATAACAACAAAGAAAACACCTCTAAATGTAAAAAGGTGGATTTGAGGTACCTGTGTTGACACATGAAGGCACATGAAGCTACAGAGTTCACCTACATGGGTGGATTTTGTAGCTCTACAAGCTAAAATAAGTGAGCCGGTGGGTCTGAAAGCCAGCCGGGATCTTTAGAAGCAGACGCATTGTGATAATTTATACACAGAAGATACGAGGGATGTTTAGATTTGGGATTGGGCAGCGAAATTTGGGTTTTGTGGTCCCTGAGATATGTTGTCTTAGAAGTTTTAGAAGCCTTTTAACTTAATCTCTATCTTACAAATAGATTCCATCTCAGCATTATGAATAAATAGGTCTTCTGTTACTGTTACCTTTAAGAGGTTCTATAACATTTCCCATGTTTTTTCCAGTCCATGTGGAGGACAAAGCGCAGCACGGTGGATGGATACTTCTTAGCCGGGAAGAACATGACCTGGTGGCCGGTGAGTTGTGCAGAAACTCTATCTAGAGCACACTTTAAAAGTCAGATGGAGGCAAAATGTTCTGATTCGGACTCTCATCTATATTTAGGTGGGTGCTTCGCTGTTCGCCAGTAACATTGGCAGTGGACATTTCATCGGCCTGGCAGGGTCAGGAGCCGCAGCGGGAATTGGTGCCATTGCATACGAGTGGAATGTAAGAAAATAATCTGTCAAAAATAACTTTGATATGAAATATTAATAGGTTTAAATTCTTGATGGTGCTGATATTTGTTAACTGACAGGGTATGATGATGGTACTGCTGCTGGGATGGCTCTTCCTACCCATTTATATTGCCTCTGGTGTGAGTTTTCTACACACACTCTGAACAAAAGAAACAATAAGTTGTTGCATGCATGATTTTGGTCATTTATTCCCCCGTGATCTCATAGGGCTTGACCTTATTTCTTCTACAGGTGACAACGATGCCAGAGTATCTGCAGAGGCGGTTTGGTGGTAGAAGAACTCAGTTGTTTATTGCCATCCTTTCCTTATTTATTTACATCTTTACAAAAATATCGGTAGGCTATAATCCACAATAGTGATTTATTTTGTGAAGCTTTATCTGGGTTAATTTCTTTCTAGTTTCTTAGCATAAACCTATGTGTGTTTTTGGCCAGGTGGACATGTATGCAGGTGCCCTGTTCATTCAGCTCGCCTTACAATGGAACATCTACCTGGCTGTGGTGCTGCTGCTGTTAGTCACTGCTATCTATACTGTAGCAGGTGAGCTACAGTCCCGCTCATGTTGGCTGTTCTGTATTTTACCAGCTTCTAGAAGTGCATAATGTGCTGTTTGCTGTTCATAGGTGGTCTGGCTGCAGTTATCTATACAGATGCAGCTCAGACTGCTATCATGCTGGCAGGAGCTCTGACCCTCATGGGCTTCAGTAAGTGAGGATATGAGTGAAAATCACAGCTTCCAGTTTCCAACCCTTTATGATCCAGCTGATCTGACTATTTAGTCTCTATGTGTAGGTTTTGTGGAGGTTGGAGGCTGGAATGCTTTCATGGAGGGTTACGGCAACGCCATCCCATCAATTCGTGTACCCAACTCGACCTGTGGCATCCCCCGAGAAGATGCTTTCCACATATTCAGAGATCCGGTGACTTCTGACCTCCCCTGGCCTGGTGTTATTGTCGGCATGTCCATCCCCTCCATGTGGTACTGGTGCTCTGATCAGGTCAGTGATTTTCAAAGCTAAAGTTATGAAAGTTAAAGTTATGAAAGGAAGCTTTCCCCTCAGAGAGTGTTTAATCGGTAGAGTTCAAATCAAAGACTTCATAGGCAAACCTCGTTTCTACAGTGAAGGCAGTTCAGAGCTCGTGAGCCCTGATTTACCAACATGAGCATTAAAAAATAATTTAAGATGTAAGATGTCAAGAGATCTTTCATCTATAAAATATAAAAGTACAACTTAGAGCTTTTACATCTTGTTGACGCCGATTAAAAATTTTCTCTGAAGTACTCAGAGAGTTTTAATCTGAAAATCCTCATCTTGAGAATTACTCCGTAAAGAAGCTGGCATGTTTCAAAGGTCCAACTGAAGTGAGATAAGAAAAAGCATGGTTAGTTTTAATTAGCATTTACAGTCTTTCCAGATACACAGCAGCATCTGTTTAGCCCCTGATATCTTACAAATTCCTGAGTGATAGCAGTAAGCTTTGTGGTTCCATTCTGCCTTACATTACACAGATATGTAGTTACCTGCTTTACATATATATATTTATATATATATTTATTGGTCAGCTTTTAATTCGGGACTCTCTGCAGGTCATTGTGCAGCGCTCTCTGGCTGCCAAGACCCTGACCCATGCAAAAGGAGGCTCCCTGCTGGCTGCGTACCTCAAAGTTCTGCCCTTCTTTGCCATCATGATCCCCGGCATGATCAGCAGGATACTTTACACAGGTACAGTGAGAACTGTAGGCTGCAGCTGGAATACTGTGTTTGACATACATTTATTACTGCATATTATAACATTAGCCTCCATAATGGTGCTGAAAGTGTGTGAGGTATTTAGGTAACACTAAACAAAAATATTGTGGATATTTGAGTTTGACTGACGCGTGTGTGTTTCTACTGTGCATAGACGAAGTGGCTTGTGCAGAACCTGAGGTGTGCAGAGAGATTTGTGGCAATCCAGTGGGGTGTTCAGACATCGCTTATGCCAAACTGGTCATGGAGCTTCTTCCTGCAGGTGAGAGACTCTTTCTGCTGCACTTCATTTCCTGCTTCATGCTTTACGTGATGAGTCTTTTATGGTAACTGTGCGTCTTTCCTCCCAGGACTGCGGGGCTTGATGATGGCTGTGATGATTGCTGCTCTCATGTCTTCGCTGACCTCCATCTTTAACAGTGCCAGCACCATTTTTACCATGGACTTGTGGAAGAGTTTCAGATCCCGTGCTTCTGAATGGGAGCTCATGATTGTGGGCAGGTATGTGACCACGTCAGGGCATTCTGATATAAAACATGCAGCATGTATATCGTATGCTGAGACTGAAGTTTGAGCAGAAAAGCATTTCTGCACTTTATTCTCAGAGCATCTACATTTGGAAAACTGAGCATAGTATTAGTTCAGTAAGTCGATCTTGTTAATGCCAACCTGCGTAAACTTTTATGATTCAATCAACAAATCTCACACAGGGGACACTGTTTAAGTTGCTGCTGCTGCCTCTGCAAGCTATTTTGAATCCCACGCCCACCTCAGCTCCTTCTTTTTATGTTGTCTGACTTAATGAATGTAATGTTTGTGGTCTTTGATGCCTGCTCTGTTCTGTAAGAGGCGTTTTGATGCTGCTCTCCCCGCCTCCAGCTTTGCATGCATGCAAAATGAAAGAGTGGGGTGATCCCATAAGAGAGCTCATATATGAATTACTACAGATGGAAATAACAACCTACTTTAATTAAAGTGGTCCTGTCTGAGAAAGCTTTGTATAAGGCCCTTTATGTGAGCTCATCCACCAAACTTTACTCAATAATGGCTAAATGCATTGTGTCGTTTAGATTCCAGCGCCTTTAGTTTTCTGCTCTTTGTCAAATCTGTGCATTGCAGAACCTCATTATTATTGCATAACGCCCGTTTTATGGTTTGATGTGTGTGCTGCAGAGTGTTTGTGCTTGTGTTGGTTGTGGTGTCTGTTTTGTGGATTCCAGTCGTCCAGGCCAGTCAGGGTGGCCAGCTCTTCATCTACATCCAGTCCATCAGCACTTACCTCCAGCCCCCCGTCTCCATCATCTTCCTCATGGGCTGCTTTTGGAAGAGGACCAATGAGAAGGCAAGCTGTTTTTTTCTTCTTCTTCAGAATGTTCTTGCGATTGATCAAGTAATTCATGGAAAATACACCCGCTGGTCACTTTATTAGGCACACCTGTTCAACTTCTCGCTACTGCAAATATCTAAACAGCCATTCACATGGCAACAACTAAATGCTGCTATGTGACTGACAGACGTGTTCAAAACGACTTGCTGAACTTGAATGTGACAATAAGGAAATTTAAGTGACTTGGCACAGTAGCTGTTTGGTGTGGCATGCTTCCAGCAACTTGTTGAATCTATGCCCTAAAGAAGTTAAGTTCTGAAGGCAAAAAGCAGGTCCAACCCAGCATTAATGAGGTGTAGCTAATAAAGTGGCCGTTGAGTGTGTATTCATGTTCCATTATACTGTGTATAATGCTGATGTTTGACTCCCTCCCTGGTGCAGGGTGCTTTCTGGGGCCTGGCTATTGGCCTTGTGGTCGGGTGTATTCGTATGTTACTGGACTTCATCTACCCTGCTCCACTGTGCTATGAAGAGGACGACAGACCTGCAGTGTTAAAATATGTTCATTACCTCTACTTCTCCATGTTGCTGTCCTTCATTACCCTCGTTGTGGTGGTTGTAGTGAGCTTGGCTACAGAGGAGCCAAAACCAGAGCAGGTGAAGCCACTGTTAACTTTCAAGAAAATGCCGACTGTCTTTAAACACACTTTTGCTAAGACATGAGCGATGGATGGATGGATGGATGGAAACATTACAAAGATCAGCTCATAACATCGCTCTGTAGCACCACTAGGTGTCAATAATACCACAGGGTACATTTATAATGAGACTGTCTTGTTAATTACCTTTTAAAGTCTGAAGAGAACATTTCAACATATGCAGTGTAAGTCGCACCTCTCTACAATACAGATTTCTTTAACTCTCAGAAAGTTTGACTGTCACTTTTGTTTCTTTAACAAAAAAACAAAAAACAGATTAGTCGACTCACATGGTTCACAAGACTCGACCCAGTGAAGCCTCGAGAGCAGGTGTTTGCATCAGAGCAAAGCAGCACAACATTAGATGTAATTGCTATTCAGACTGATGATGTGGGAGCCACTGGGAGAGAGGTGGGAAGCAGCAATGGAAACGCGTGTCATCACAGGAAAGGTGGGTCTTTGTCCTGCTCTCTTTTCCATTTGGCAACTCTTCAGCTCAACGCATCTATGAGACAATTCCAAGTTATTTTTCCCCTCCCTCTCTCCTTTTAACCCTTTAGATTCAGCATCGTCTGCCAGCAGTGTACGCAGTCAGTCCAAGCTGATGTCTGCCCTCTACTGGCTGTGTGGGATGGAGAGACGGAACAAGGAAGCTGATCCCGCTCCGCTTCCTGCACCTGAACAAACGATCTGTTCTCTGGAGGAAAAGCCTCGTCTACAACTCATTGTTAATGCAAACCTCATCATTTGCCTCTCTGTAACCGCCTTTATCATTGGTTACTGGGCTTGATGGGCAGTAAATGGACAAAGAATGGGCTGCATGAAAGACTGTAGAGATTTGAATGTTTTATTTTTTCACTCTTTGTAAAGTTTTATCTTAAAAATTATAAAAATGTGGTTGACTTTTTGTAATACGAATCATATAAAAATGTCATGTCAATTGTTGCTTAAAAAAAACAACAACAAAAAAAACCCCTCAAGTAATGGACAGAGTGCAGGCAACTTGTTTTTTTCCTTTCCCAAAGAAGAGACCATTTATGAGCAATAATATTTGACATAAAAAAAAAAAATCATTCAAGATAAAAAACTGTTGAACAATCTTTATTTAGATCAAAAACGCATTGCGCAGTGTATTTTGTGCAGAAGAACCACCATAAAAATGCTTAAACAACCAAAAAAAGAAAAGAAAAAAAAAAGCTGAAAATAAGGCAAAGCTAATGAGCCATAGTAAAAAAAAAAAAAATTCTACAAATTTTAATCACATGCTGGAGTTTGGTCATAGCTTTTGAGTGTGATAGAAAAATGATCAGTTACATTTAGCAGGAGAAAAAAAATCAGTTATATTTTTGTCAGCTTTGTGAATCAGGTCCATGGAAATCAAAGAAAATTCAAACTGAAAACTGCCCTGAATAACTAATAAATGGCAGTGTGTGCACGCTGGGATGGGACAGCAGTGGAAGAGAAACTGTTATATTGCACTCACACTAAAATATTTGGTCATTAGCAACCATAACAATGGCTCAACATTTGAACTCAGTTTGCTTTGACTAACAGTCATTTCCTTTGGTCCTTCATAGTATTGCTGTGGACATGAGGGAATTATTTACTCACTGAAAATTTTTCTTTATTTGGGTTTATGTGGTAAAACCAGATTCACATTTTAAAGAAGTATTTGCATAATTGAAGATTTAATAGTAATAGTTTTAAAAAAAAATAAAAAGATTAACTTTACCAGCATTCTGAAGCCAGCTGCGATATTCAGCTGCGATATTGCTGAGGTTTTATGTTAAAGCCCCGCTAGCCTTGTTCCTCACAAGGCCCTGCAGTCCAATCAGAGAATACCCAAGCAGTATGTGGAGCAAACCGTTTAATGTGCAGTCTAATGTGGAAAGTGATAGCTGGACAGGGCCCTTGTGGTCTGAACGACTAACTTAAGATGAGGTTTCTGGTGTGAGTCAGTATAGCAGAGGAAAAGGCAGCCATTCGTTTCCAGCGACACTCTGACATCATGTGAGCGGTACTTGAAGAGCCGGAGTGATTTCATTTTGAGTTACCCCGTCTTATGTTTGATCATAAACAGTCAAGCCCAGACTTTAAAAAGCGGTGCTCTCTGTCTGGATGCTGGGGTCTGGGTTCAGGGCTGGGGGGGTGTTAGTGGTAGTAGTGGCGGTGGCAGGCTCTTGACCAGCAGAGCTTTCCCTTTCTTCGTCCTCAATCACCTCAGGAATGATGGCTCTTCCAATCCCCTTTAGAACCAGGCCTCCTTCTGGAGAGGATGTTGAAGGGAACCAGTCAGCAAACAAATCAATAAACCAAACCATATATAGACACACAGTTTTAGACCGGGGAGCTCACACTCACACATACAAACACGCACACACAGCAAGACACCAAGGATTGCTCTCATAAATAAATCTATTCTAACCAGCACTACTTGAGTAACTCTTTTTAGTTGGTGTGGCAGTCATGAGAGTTTCCTTGGTGTGTTAATCTTTAAATGCAATGCAAATTATTAAAAAAAAAAAATCGTTCAAGAGAACACACACACACACACACACACACACACACTCTCTCTCTGTGTTAGTAACCACAAATACAAAAAATTGCAAGCATGTTAGTGTTGTTGCAAAGCATAGCTAAAGCCTAGGACAAAAGCACCAAGCCTACATATAAATGTATATGTGCACGCCCACACACGCCACTTTTCTCTCCCCCAGACAGATGCACATGCAGTAGACACAGACCGAGGTTAATGCATCAGCCAATCAGATCCTTACCATTACCTGCCTTACAAAGCTCATCTTACAGGCAGGCCCGCAGCTCAGACATCTGCAATATTTACACATATGCCGTCATGCATCAGATCACCACAGCTCTTTTGTAAGTGTGTGAGCCAAAAATGAGACAGTGAAACCAAAAGCCACTGAGCTAAATATAGCACTGCTCCGAGAAGAAGCTGAAATCACTCAATAACAGAAGTGAATATAGTACCAGCAGACGGCCAGCAAGTGAGTGAGTTCAATAATGGGAATGTCTGCACAAAGAAAATCATTTAAACAAAAAACACACCAAAGAAAGCTTCTATTCTTCAGTAGATCTGGTAACTTCCTTTAAAAACTTGTCTGAATAAACAACAATTGCCTTTTATCTATATTGTTTTCAAAGGTGGAGTGTAACCATGGTGGAAGTGGTCAGATGTTAAGTTAAAATGATACTTCGCCATTACTCGGAGGTCATTTTAGCAGATATACATTTCAATATTTGTACTGCACTGTAGTTTTACTTCCCACTTTCACACCATTATAATTCATGATCCCATTGAAATCCATTTTACAACTGCATTACAGTTATTTACATGATCATTTCAGATTAATGATTTATTATGTGGTTTATTATCTGGGGTCACATCCAATTTATCACCGTACTGTTATTTAATTTGCATATTCTTCTGTACTCTTGTATTTTTTCTTGGTAGCTCTTCGAATGCACAACCCTTATGTGGAGTTTTTAAAGTTAACAAAAAATAAATTAATAAATTTAAAAAAAATATATTAAAAAAAAATAAAAATCACACATCTTTGCAACCACTGCACTGCAAAAGTGGCCAAATCAACGATTACTCTGTTTAGAGGTTAAAGCTTTGTATATACACATACAACTTATTTTAGCAATGTTTTTGTTGCAGTAGTTGATTTCTGCCACACTGTATTGCTGACACCATTTAAGTCGATGATGCAAACCTTTGTATTTGTATTTTAGTATAAAATATTTTTAGTATAGTATATTAATTTTATACAAAAAAAAGAAACTGAGACACAGACTGGTTTACCTGTTATGATCTTTGAGGCCGAGTTGAACATGCCATTGCCGCTGTCATTTGCTGCCGGTTGCGGAGGCGGTGGCATGCTGGGACGGGGTTTCGGTTTTGGAGCTGGCCTCGAGGGTCGAGGGAGAGATCCGGAGTGGAAGAGCGGCGGAGTGTCAGGAGGGGTGGGACTGCTAGGGGGAGAGTGCTCTGACTCTCCCTGGGCTTGTTGGGGTGTAGGCGGCTGTGGGGGTGGATGGCTCGGAGCTTGGATTAGGGCATCTTTGCTGTGGACACGACGGGGCGTGATGGGTGGGTGCTGCGGGGAACCGGGTGCTTGGGTGTTACTGAGCTGAGAGGCGAACGGGCTGGCCTGTTTGGGTGGGGCTGGGGCTTGCTTCTTGGTGCCTTCAGAGGAAAACGTACTTATTAAATCTCATTTGCTATATTAAACCACTAAAATAGCAGATTTAGATTTCCTCACCTCTGCGGACCATGTGTGGACTAGGCCCTTTGGAGCTTCCCTGAGGGTGTGGGGTTCCTACAGCGAGATGGACCGCTGAACCATTCCTCTGCGGAGGCGGGGTGGACATGTGCTCACGGGCCGGGCTGTGAAAACACCACAGTTCCAATTATTAATCCATTTCCGTGTCATACACCCTCAACATTCTAGGATCAAGTGCAGCACCAGTGCTCATGCATAAAACCAACTGCACACCTTTCCATTCAAAGAATAATTATACTGGATTAGGTTATTACAGAAAGAATGACTCAAAAGGATCGATAAACGCACGAAGAAAGCACGGGATGCAAAAATCATGAAAGAAGTCCATTCAGCGGACGGAACAAGTGTTCAGTAATGAGACACATGCATAAAAACAAAGTCTTCAAAGCTTCAAAGTTGTTAAACCACCAAACAGACGAGCAGACAGGAAGGAAAGACAGCTTCTCTTTATAAACAGAAACCGAGAGTTCTGTTGATCATCACAAACAGAGGGCAGGGGGAAAGTTGTGCAAAGCATAACAGTGTTTTTCATTTATTTACATTATTAATTAATGAAGCAGATTTAATACTTGCAGACATTATAGACATTTTTATGCTCATGATTTTTTTTGTGACGTCCAGTAAATCAAATTAATCAAATACATGGCAAACAAAGGGTGGCGAGCTCCGGATCGGATGATTGGCTGCAGTGGAGTACCGGTGCTACCTCAGCTCACTCCTTACCTGCTCTCCTCTGTGCTGAGCTGGGTTACAACCTGATGTTGCACTGTGGCTACCTGGACCCCACCAACCAGACCACCACCACCACCACTGCCAGCAACACTCAAGCCAGGCTGCTCAGCCTCTGAAGGAGGAGGAGGAGGATGGGGTTCGAGCTGTGTAGGAGTCCCGGCTTCCAGAGGGGGTAATGGGGGTTGGAAGGTGGGTGAGGTTAGTGGTGACTGCTTTCTATTTAAGACGCTGGTTCTGCGAGGAGCGGGCTCCGGCTGTTTGTTAACAGGGCTAGGGAGGGGGGGAGAGGGGAGAGTGTTCAGGAGGGCAAACCACAGGCCATCAGACAAGAGTGAAGGAGCAAGAGACTCAGAGACAGAAGTAAACAAAAACGACAAACAAAAACAAAAACCCCCTCGAAAGAACCCAGCGAGAGCAGTGAGAGATGTTGTGATGTCGAGACAGAAAGAGACGCCACTTCCTGAGTGGAACGAAACCGGTTCAGAAAGAAGAACCCAAAGAGGACATAAAACCACATGAGTGACCTTTAAAATAGAACAACTTTGAACTGCAACATTAATGCGGCGACAGGTGAAATAGAGAAAAAAAAAAAAAAAAGATGACAAAAATGCAAGCCCACGCAAAACATAAAACCAGCAACCTACAGTGCAACCTAAGCTTTAATTGGAAATTAAGGAGATAACACAAGAGTACACAACAGTAACACAAGAGAAATAAAACTTGAGACATAAATGGATTCCCAAACATTATTAAAAAGGCTTTGTGTTTCATAAATGTTATGGTCATGTTACGGACGAATCTCAGCAAAATATAACTGATTAGCTTAAAACACAACAAATGTAGTGCACAAATCACACAAAGCATCATTTCCCTTATTTCACTTATTAGTAACTGGATTCGTGGGATCTACGTTAGACTGTGGCACAGCCTTGAAGTCTGGACTGGGCAGATCTTCAGTGGGCGTTTCAGTGACCGTGATGGACTCGTTGGCCACGACATAAAGGGCCGACACCGCTGGGCCCCTCGACTCCTGCCTGCTCAGTGTCTTGGGACGGGACGGCAGGGTGAGGGGCAGGCTGAGGCTGAGGTTGGGACGAGACAGGTACCTGTCTTTACGAGGGGTGTGACTGTCCCCGTCCTGCCCCATGCTGCCGGGGCGTTTCCTGTCCAGGATAGGTTCGGGGTCCGGGGTGGGTGGATGGCTGGGCAAGGAGAACATGCCTGACACGTTGAAGTCCACCTCTGGAGGACAGAAGCAAATTAAGCAAATTAAAAATGACCTACAGCTTGCAAGAAGACTGTATACAAAAGATGCACAAAGCCTCTGTGACATCACTCACTGGCCACTTGGAGCCATGATATTTTCAAGAGACGGTAGAGTGTGCTATAATCAGCTGACTCTAGGAGACCGTACAGGTGTATAACTTATACACCTACCAGCTAATAAGTGCCAACCAACACACAAACAGAATACTACAATTTCTCTCACTGAAACTAGAGTAACACACAATAAGCCTTTTTTCTCCAGATAATTTAATTAAAAATACTCAAAACTAGAGTCAAAAGGTCCAGATTAGTCACTCAAGTTAGCAAAATTGAGGACTAGCAGATACCTACAGACTCTGCATCCTTTTCTTTAAGGCTCAGTAAAGTTATTTTAAAAATGCACCCTCTGCTCAGCTGTTACAGAGTAAATTCATTATAGAAACCACAACTGAATAATAGTTGTGGATTTCATCATCATGACAACTTAAAGCTGAGCTTTGATAGTGAACTGGGTAAAATTATCCTCGCAAAATCAGCACAAGCATGCTAATTTTAGAATTTGGTTAACAATGTGCTCTGAGCTTCAGCCACATCCTACAGAGCCACGAGCATGGCTACAGACTCTTAGCCTTGCTGGCTAATGTGGAGAGAAACCATTTCAGCTACTATTCATCAATTTAATGAGCTTCAACATTTTTCAAAGTACCCACTGTCAACCCACAAAGGATGAGCCTGCGCGTTAACATTGTTGCATGAAAACTAAGTGCTGGCAAACTCCACAAATCAACAATGGAAATTTATGCAAATGTTATCTTTTGCAGGAGCATTCAACGGACGCATTACCACACGCTGCAAAGGTTCAGGCAGATTATATCATCGAGAATAAGCACGCCAAACAGCAGACAACAGACAGAGAGAAGGAGAATTATTGCAAATACAACAACAGTGTTTCACCTTCAGGGAAGAACCAGTCAGCGTGTTGGATAATAGGCTCAATGATGGCAAGTACATGCACAGATGTAGCTGCTGCCATCTCTGCCAGCGTCCTGAGTACGAGCACAGAGACGGAGATAAGAACGGGAGGAAGGTCAGTCAGCCTAAGAGAACGACGCGCTTTGCATTTTAGAATGATGACATAAAAGTGAGGTGAACCGTCCACGACATGCTCACCCTTCGGTCTTCGACCACAGCAGGTTAGGCCCCAGGACTATTGCGATGTTGCTGGGAGTCATTTTATTAACATCACTGTCCTGAGCCAGTTTAGCCAAGAACTTCACCAGATACCTGCAACGGAGACACAAACTGCCTTAAAAAACAAAAATATCTCCAAAATATTTTTCCCACCTTTAAATCATACACTGTCCCCAACCTGGCGGGTTTCTGACTCCTCGAGAAAGTTACGGCCTTGCTGTGAATGTGGCCTGAGAGGCTCAACCAGTAAACTGGTTTACTAGAGCATCAAAGTAACATCTGGTACAGTGGTGAAATACGCACCTATTTTTCCATCTACAGTGCTGTGCAAAAGTCTTGAGCCAACCCTCATTTCTAAGTATTTTGCTCTCAAGGAGCCAGATGTTCTTGTCATTTTTTAAATTAATGTTGCGATTTTTTCCACTCATTTTTTTGTTAAGCGTATTAAACCACTTAACTCTGACTCCTGAACCAGTCTGACATAGAAAAAAGGGGAAATACAGAAGGTGTTTAACTCACAGAAACAACCACTTTTGTGTTTGCACCTAACAAAGAAGTTGTAACTGTAGAGCCAATTTGTTACCAGCAGCCTTTTGCAAAGGCAATTTATTCCCATTGTTTAACCAAAAAGATGATTCTCAAAGAGCTATTTACTTAAAAAAAATCCAGCAGAGTTTTTAGACCTGATGCAGCATCTGAGTGATGCATCTGTCCCATTCATTTGATTCACCTTCTGTCCATTAAAGTCTCATCAGAAATGGTCTCAGTGGAAGCGGGGTGGGTTTCAAGAAGCTTAAAGAAGGCAAACTGGAGGAATATGTGGAGGTATGCCAAATTATACAAGAAATTCACTTAAAAATCCACTGCAAAATCTGTTGTGGCTTGAAGCCCCGCATTTTAACCTGTGGTGTTTGAGATCTTGCCAAAATTGAATTATGAATACAAAAAAAAAAAAGCACTGTCAGATTTGATCCAACATGCAATACCATCTGAAAAGTGTCCAAATGCCAACGGCTTCATTTTTCCGTATAACAATCATCTCAAACCTGCTGCCAATGCAGGAAAACCACACCTGGATAGAACAAACACAGTGTAACTATGGACTGATCTCTCCAGAGCCTGGACCTCAACACAGACATCATGTTGACAGAACAGAACAAAAGGCAGCCAGCATCAAAAGAAGAGCTTTGAATGTCCTTCAAGAAGTATTCCTGAAGACTACTTAATGGCAAAAAAAAAGAACTCTCAGAGAGCACAGACTGAACTGTTCAAGAATAATGATGATATCTTTATCTTTTGCTAATTACAGCTCCAATTTTCCATTTTTCTGGCAATATATAAAGAAATGAGGGATCTGGTCAATTCCTCACATGAATAAACATGTACAAAAAAGGTTACATTTAAAAAGCAAACCAAAAAAACAGCGTTATTTAAAAAATAAATAATAAGGCTGGCATAAATGATAGTAATTAAAAGAGAGTAATATAGAGTACCTGAAGTTGGCTTTGTGGGCCTTTGGCAAATGGTCACATGTCACCCACAAGGCCTGAAGTCTTTTGTCAGAGTCTAAGGTACTGAAACATTAACAACATTTACTGCAAACATACTTCACATGAATCTAAAGTTTATTAGTGCTGCACAAGTGTTTTACAGGACATTACAGGAGTCGTGTCTTTGTGTGCAGTGTCTTACTTGGAGGCCTGTATCCACTCATCATAAAGGCTAAATGTCATTAGAGGTTCAGGAAGTTCCCTGAGGTAGGACTTGAGAGCTCCTGTGTATCAAAAACAAAATATATGCCATGAGACAAAGACCTGGAGCTGATGTTTTTACTTTCTGTGGATTTGTAGAAGTAGTACCAGCCACGGCATGGGGATCAGAGTAGAAGCCCTCGAGCTGTGAGGTGGAGCAGTCCAGCGCTGCTTTCAACTTTTTCAATTTTGAAGCTCCAGCAGCAATTCTAAATAGACCCTGAAAAGAAAATAAGGGAGAGCAAGGTCACAGCAGTGCCTGGTTACAGGAGGCTGTTTCTCTCCTAAAATTAAAGAAGTGAGTCTGGGTTGGTAACACAAAAGAAGAAGTAATGCAATCGAGTACTGAATGTCTGCAAAAGTAAAGAGAAATGCTTTTGCTACCAACAGAGATGTGACTCTTTCAGAGGATGAGCACCAGACGGATGCACAGCAAGAAGAGGTTTGTTTCCATTTAGAAATGTCTTGAATCGTACTTCATGGGGAGTCTAGTGATACTGTTTCATTTCAAGAGTGCAACAGCGATCATACTAATGGGTAACAGATGCCTGTGTGTGCACACACAGAGGTTTTATTCCCACAGGACAAAGACTGGCTAACCTCAAGTTGGCTACAGATGTTTCCAGACTTTACATGCCATCATTTTTAAAACGCAGTCCACATGACCCACATGTCCTTCCAGTTCAAACACACAGGAGGTTTATGGGTACAAATTTAATCCAAATTCTGGTCAATTAACCCTCAACTTTGCCCTACTTTAGCAAAGTCTCCAATTTTCTTCTTCCATCTCTCCATCCGTACCTCCTCCTTCATGCCGGTCTCAAGCAGCATCATGACGCAGGCCTCAATCGGCAGAGCGATCTCACGGTTGGTCCTTTTCAGATGCTCCTCCAGCGCCGTGCCAAATGCCGGCTTCTCTATCCAGGAGTCTAGGTGAGACAAGCATCGGCAATGTTCTGCGTTGGCACTCGTTTCACTAACTGTCTGCAGTTAACTTCATGGCTTTCAACAATTTTTATATAGTTCTACAGCTGACAACAGGAATACCACATTCTTTATTTAGACTTTTAAATGAAGTCTTTGCAGGTATGTTTGTGTGATACGATTGCTCTTTTGTCATGTGCATGAAAACATGTAAAAAGCCAACTTGAAATCCAGTTATCCTGGCTTTCATTCGGATAAATCTGGGCCAAACAAATAATAAATCTATAATCAGATCACATCAGAAAGCTGATTCTAAGGTTCATATAAACACACTTAAAAAAAAAAAAACCCAAAAAACCCTCTAATGTGACGATGTAATTGTAGTGAGTCGTTTCACTATGTTGCAATAAGCAGTGCACACACACACACACACACATGATCACACACACATCAAGCACCACACCACCCCCCCCCCCCCACACTACACCCCCCCCCACACATGTAGCACACCCCCCCCCCCCACAAACCCACACCCCACAACACACACCACCCTCCCCCCACACACACAATGTGCCCACAACACACCCCCCCCCCCCCCCCCCCCCCCCCCCCACACACACACACACACACACACACACACCCCCACACCAGTCTGTGATATATACCAGCCAATAAGACAGAAAACCTGCAAAATTTATAACAGCACACCCTGCTAAGGGACCACAAAATAAACAATTATAATGTGAAGTCCTTTGTGAGAACTGTTAAGCAGGATGACAAGCCACTCTTTATTTCTCTAACCCTAAACCAGCAGATCAGCAACAAAAAGAAGAAGCAAAGTTTTTATGTTATTTACATGTTTAATAATATGTTTTGTGTCTTATTGTTCACCTTGCTGTGTCTGGATGGTGGGTATAACTACTTCCAGAGCTGCCAGAGACCTCCTGTGGTACTCTGCCTGGGTCTCTAATAACTGTTATACAGAAACACACACACAAAATCACATACACCAAATCTAATGTGAACATAGTACTTGGTTATCACACATCGCCTAGTAACTGTGTTACAGTGGAACGTTCCATATTTGCATTTCCATTACCAGTAAACTGAGGTGCACTCACCATCACATAATAGCGTGCATAGTCTCCCTCTTTAGAAGCAAAGTTGTACAAGTCTGCAGAGAGCTGGTCCTGCATGAAATGACAAAAGAATGACGTGTATGGCAAACAATGAGAAACTGTTCACGAAGACATGGATATGACAAAGCTATGAGCTTTAATTACTCGGTCCAAAAATGTGCATAGCATCAGTGTCCTGATTTAGTCCCCCTTATAAAGCCTTCTTTGTTCAGCCAGTTCATCAAATCTGATCCTAACCTTATGCAGCAAGCCTCATGGGAAAGAGTCGACATGAAATCTACCTTGCATATTTCTACTTTATTGAGTGCCTCATCCATCTCGTCTTTGAGCGAGTCAACTTTAGCTGCCATGGCTGGATTGGTGGACTTGGTCGCCTGTAACCACCTGCAGAACAAAGGATTATTTAAGTAACCATGTTAGTGGAAACATTTGAAAGATTGGAGCCATACAAAGACTATTAAAAAATAAAAAAAATTGTTATCAGGCTGTGTGGAAATGTACCGTGTTTTAGCAGAGTCATAATCGAGAACCAGCTTAGCAAGCTGCTTTCTCTGTTTCAGTATGTTGGGAATCTCTACCTGTGAGAGAAACAAGAGGAACCATGAGAACGACATGACTACACATGCACTGCAAAAGGTATAATGAGCACTTTTGAGCAATTTTCCTGTGAGAACCTTGTGTCAATTTTAAAGATACAGAATAGCAATGAACCCAAAACAGTGCTAAAGGCATCGTTGAATTTGGCACAAACACAAAGTTCAGCTTGATGTCTCTGCTGCTGGGTCTTTGTTTTTATAATATAGCGCATGATTTTAAAGGGATTAAAAGGAAGAAGCCAATCAATGGTTGTATGCATGAGCTTTTACCTCTGCCAGCTGGTTGAGAGGATCCAGAATGTCTTTCTCCATCTGCATTTCATGCTGCAGCAGCTCAAAAGCCAACTTGCCCTCGGCTTCGCCACACACATCCATCATCTTGCTGTTCACGTGCACAGAGACATATATGCAAATATCCCAGTTATCACTACTTTTCCTCACAGCGAGTAAAACATATGTAAAGAGCTTCAGCTAGATCCCACATCCCCTTTTTATTTAAATACTTTTACACTGATCTTGATAAACACTTACTTGTTCACCAATTTTGCCCATTTAAAGGTGATATTTTCAACTTAAACGATGCTGAAACTGGTCTTTCGATGGAAACTCACCCAATCAAACCCTCTTCTCCAAGCTGGCTGCCACCCTCCTGCATGGTCTGGGACAGCCCGGTCAAGGGCAGCTTTTTCTACAAGGGAAAAAGAAAGAAAGAAAGCAAGCAGCTCAGTCTACTTAATAACGTTCACTTCATTGACATGTTTTCTTTTCTGATTTGGATCCGACTCAAATTAGTTGCACAAACACCAAAATACCAAATACGTCATATATTTAACTTAAATTTAACTTAAATATGAATTTGAAAAAAGGGGGATATAAGGGCAGGTCTTACAGCATCAAGGAAACATGTAGACAACCCCCTCCCCAATTCAGCTTAGCTTCAGCTAATTTTTTTTCTCCCCTTCATTATCTATACCCTGCCTGCTGTGGCTCTACCCAACAGTTTAAGGACAACTGATCCAACCACGTTGGCTTATCTGTTAATTTCACTTTGCCTGCAGGAGTGCCAAACACTGCACCATCAAGATGACTTAATTTAGAAGAGTAATCAAAGTATGACAACGTAACAGGGATTCCTTCAGAGTTGCGTCAGTTTTATTGGCCTTTGGGCTGGGTCTGCTGAATGGTGATAGTGAAGCTGGAAGGAGAGTCTCTGTCATATCTATGTGTTACATAAGAAAAACACATGATAGCAGGGCCCTAGTTCAGAATGGCTGTCACAGTGATTCATCCTAATTATGCTCTTGTAAATGAAGCCATATCCAAAGTGTGGCATGTTGCTAATATGATGGGATGAAAAAGTGAAAATAAAAAAGCTAAATGATGGAATGAATCTGACAGAGAAAAAAAAAGAAAAGGTGCCTCTTACATGTCTCTTCTCTGTGTCTGTGCCCAGCTGACCTTGCAGACAGGACACCAGCCTCTTGTGCGTGTTGTGAGACACCAAACGAACCAGCTCCAGCCGCCTCTCGATCTGTGGGCACACACAAAAAACAGAAGAAAAAAAAAGAAAAAAAAAAAAAAGAAAGATAAAATGCAGCGTTATCAAATTAGAACAAGCAAAACAGGTCTATCGTGGAAGAGATCAGCTAACTGATTTAAACACGGATGAAGGAAATAAGTGTAATGGACCGTTTAACCTTCCTGTTCAGCAGAAACAACACAGGTGAGGGCTACAAATCAAAATACAGATGCTGCACATGCACACATTCATCTCGCATATTTCCCACCCTGCTAGTGTTTTTGAAATATGACGGCAGTTGTAGGCTGTTTGTCCAATTCTGTTACATGGCGTGCAGCTCTGACAGCCAGATGGAAGGAATCAGAGTCAAGAGCAAGTCTTTACCGACAACAGGAAGCGAGAGATGCTATCAAAGAAAGCAGATGCATCAGTCTAACTGCAGGCCTGAGCTACTGGTAATGGAGGGCATCAAGCACACTTTCCCAGTGGTTTTCGATGTCTTTGTTTCTCTTTCACTCACATTTCCATGACCCCCTATAGCATGCTATACGTTTTGTAGCTTGACAAAACGGTTTAATTTTAGGAGGCTTGAAGCTAGCAACAACAATTCCACATTCTGCCCTCGTTTGCTGTCTGCTCCCAACTGATTTGACTAATTTTCTCTACGGTGGCCCTGAGTGCACAGGACACAAGTGAGCCAAGAAAAGCACAATCACCAAATACGACAGCATGTGCAACATTTGGATAAAAATGCTGAAAATTAAGACAACAGTGATCTGCAACTACAAAGAACATAGCAGGATTACCAACACATATTTACACTTTGAGTTGACAGTAATCTTGTATTTTATTGCTTCATTTTTCCAGCACCAGGGTGGGACTGTGGCCTTTGGTAACTGAGTCACCAAGAAAAAAAAACTATCATGTCCCACAAATCAGGTTGAGAGTTCCTCTGTAGCCAGACACTTTATATCGATGGGCTGATGGAGACTGTGGTTTGTGGGTATCGAGGCTGTCAGGTCACTTGGTGAAGACCTTACAAAAAAAATACACTTTTGAAGTTGTATTTGGGCGTGGCAAGACCCAAATATGATACGCTAGATTTTCTTATGTTGTATATTTTCTTGTGCCTTTTTCCTATTAGTATTTGGTTTTGGTCTTGTCAGCGTTACTGAGCGATGACCTCGAGTCTAAAAATGGGGCGGCCTGTGATCGAGTGTGAACCAGATGGGATGCAAATTAGCGCCTCCAAGTCTGTTGGTTCTCAGCTGGCAAAGGATAGAGTGATCGCTCCAAGTGGAGGAGTTTATTTATCTTGGGGTCTTGTTAAGACTTGTTCAGTTGCAGTGATACAGATGCCGTACCTGTCTGTTGTGGTGAAGAGAGAGTCCAAGCTGATTTATTGGTCGATCAATGTTCACACCTTCACCTATTGTCACATACTCTGGGAAATGACCAAGAATCTTACTTGATTGTGGATACAAGTGGCGGAAATGAGTTTCCACTGAAGGGTGGCTGGGCTCACTCCAACTTGCGAATTATATTTCTGCGCCAGATCTATGTCGAAACTTACACCACAACCAGAACCCCATTTTAGCCCTATGCCACAACCTTCTAAGTAACCTGATGTGCCCATCCCGAGAACTGTGACTACGCATCGGCTCGACACACTCCACAAAACACTTGGGTTGCGTGGAATGTTGCCGTTTGGGGATAAAAGGAGTTTTTTGTTACTACACAAGTTAGGACGTAAATTTCCCACAGAAGTCTAAATAAAGCTTTATAGATGAGGTGAGAAGTTTAGAGTAGAAAAGGAGACAGCTAAAGTGGTTCAGGCATCTGACCAGGATGTCTCCTGGGTGAGGTGTTCCAGGCATGTCCCACTGGGAAGAACCAGGACACAGCGGAGAGATTACATCTCTCGGTTGGCTTGGGAACGCCTTGGTATCCCCCGTGTAGAGGTTAGGACGTAAATCTCCCACAGACAAATACACATTTGCATTCAATACATTTTCTGGAAAATCTGCTTAGAAACTTGTAGTGGATACAATTTTATTATTACAGTTACTATTACAATTACTATTATTAGTGATTAACAAACATAAAAGGAGAACTTTATATCACTTGGTATAGATAACTGGCCCAATAACTCTCTATCAGACTGTCCTCAAATGCACCACCAGTGCAGAGTTTCAGGTACCTATAGTGACTTGTGAGAATTACTGTGCTCTGCTGAGTTTTTAGTTCCTGACTCTTCCAGATGTGGGTTTGAAAAGTCTGCTAAAGAGGCAATTATAGAGAGAATTTACTCTCTAAATGATCAGCAGTTATGTGAAGTAAAAAATAATAATCTGCTGAAGCTTGCATAATCACCAACATGGTCTGCCATAAGTATCCACTTCCTCTTCCTGTTTCAGTATAAACATTTAGCTGCAGCGCTAGATCTGAGAGCTGCTCATTTGCTGTCTGATCCCATCTTCTTCCTTCGTTTTCATCCTCCCAAATTCACTGATCCCCTTGCCCTGTTTGAGTCTCTCCCATACACTCGTACAGCTTTACTCCACCCTCCCTTTACTCTGCTCCTCCTTTCCTGCAGCTGTTGCAGCATGCCAAACCACATCTGGACTTGGCTTCCTTGCCTGGATCCAATTGATTCACTCACTATTCAGCTGATTCCAGTTCAATTGCATCCAGACTTCCAACACTTTTGGCCAGAAAGGAAGAAAAAGACCTGAGTGACTGCAAAGTGGGCGGTATTGTGGACTGAAAAGACTGGATAATCGCAGTACTAGTGTTATTAGAGCATTTGGTTATGTCCGATACCGATATGAATCCGATATAGTGTGTTTTTTAATCACTAAAACTGTGTTTTTTAATATCTTGCTGCTTTTTGTATAAGTTCATACTCAAGTTAAAAAAAAAACCCAAAAAACACTAAAGCTATTCTGTTATACCTGTATGCAAAAAAAACAAAACAAACTCTGCACCCAAAATATTTCATAGTTCAGCAATACTGATCAGTCTAATAAACTTAAATCTACTCCATCCTCCCTATTCTGGTATTTTAAAGAGTAAGCAACCTAACCAATAGGGTTCTAAAACTCCTAGCAAAGAAAAAAAATAAAATAATAATAATATAGGGAACCACCCTCCGCCTCATGATGCTTAATTGACGTAATCAACTTTAATTTGATGCAGGTTGGGGAAAAAAATGCACAAAAATTAATCATTTTTCAAGAATAATTAAATAGATTCAACATCTTTCTTCAACAGAATTGCAGACTGCACAGATCGTACCTTCCCAAAGGATAAAGTACTATAGCTTACTAGGGTATATTAGACTTAATAGTTACTATATACAGTAATGGACTTCTATACATTTTACATCAGATTAAAACTTTGGGTGTAAGATTCAGATAATTATTTATTAAAAACTAGACATTCTAAATGAGAATAAGAAAGAAAAGTATGTCTTTGTGCCCCCTTTTCCCTGTTCATGCCCTATCGGCCCCCCTGGCTAAACTTTGCTAGATCCGCCCCTGCACAGTTACCAGCCGTCAGCTACGTAGAAAAAGATCCTCGAGTAGAAAGTAATATTAAATAAATTCTAACAAGGTTATCAAGGTTAAACGTGCTGATGTTGTTAAGCCGCTGGTTTCCTCTTTCTGGCGCGAAGTGGGCAATAAACAAACAAGAGAGACGGACTCCCGAAAGAAAAGCCGATCAGCTGATCATGGATCAGTTTCATGATTGAAGTAGCAACAGGAGAGGGAGGGAGAAGAGGCACTCCTAAGATGAACTTACACACTTGCTTTACTTCTCTCTGGGATAACTTCCTCGGAGATGAAATGCCGCATTGCTAGAGAGGCTACAAATACACACAGCCGCTCTATCACGTGACGCATACTGCTGCAACGTGCTACGGTTATGAGCAGAGTTACGCCATGTCGCAAGTTTTGTGAGGTGCTTTTTGATATTTAATGGATGGGATTACATTTTTTATTTCTCTCCGATATCCGATCCAGTAATTTACGTCAGTATCGGACCGATACGATACGTAATATCGGATCGGTCCATCTCTAATCAGAACTGAGACAATATGAGAGGAAGTTGCTAAGATTCCCTACAGCACAGAATAGGCATCAAGGACAGCAGATATGGGATTTATTAATTCAGATATGATGGTGGTGGGTTGCAAATTGACTTACACAGTATATTGGAATTAAATGGAGGTTTCAGTAGCATGCCTAAGTCATCAAGTGGTAAAGTTGGAATTGTTGGAATTGCAAAGGGGGACAAAGTGTTTTCATACAGCCCTCTGAAGTCTTTTTATAAATAAATGAGATGTGCATATCTTTAACTCTTTATAGTGGTAATACAGCAGAGACAAGCTATGTGCGGGCTGGAACCGTATTAAAATAATAAATGGTGTGGTAACAAAATCTAATAAGTTTGTCTCAGGGTTTAAACTTGTAGGATCATCAGGAAGAGCCACCATTAAGGAAACAGAGAGATTCCAAGTATAAGAGTTGGGGAAAAAAAGAAAAAAAAAAAAAGATAGGAACACTCCCTGATCATAGGCAGAAACAAGCCCACACACAGACAATTAACACAACAGAAATGACCACTTCCACTCTCCAGTTACTTGCTGTCCAAAGGTTTACAGTCCTACAGTCTACTTGCCAACTTTTCCCCCCTAAACAGCAATGAAATCAGAACCTCTGACCTTCCATAACAAAACAAACATGGAACATTTAGTGAGTCACACAGGATGCAGTCATGTTTTCTGGATTGGACTGAATGGTTGGTTAACTGCCGGCTGGCAGGTGACGCTGTGGCTGACCTTGTTGGCAGGCCGGTTTACTATTCGACGAGCTGATGACTGAGCCGAATTGAGACTTTAATGCAAAAACAAAACAAAGTGTCATGTTTGACTGAAAGGAGTAGTCTCACAAGTTATGTGAGAAAAACGTGTGTCCTTTAAATGTGTCTGTAAGTAACTGGTTTTGTTTACATTAGACTGGAAATGTGACAAAGTGGTAAGACAGTTTTCCTCCAGCATTTAGCTTGTGATGAAATAGTAAAGGAGTTGTTTAAAATTTAGTTTTTTTATCCCAAGATAAGACAACCGGCTGGAGAACTCTCTACAGAGACTCCTGAGTTTTGTTTTTCCTCACCAGCCGTTTCACTGGTAGCCACTTGCTTGTTACACGTTATCAATTATCAGTCCATCATGCCCTCATATCAATTTGAGTACTTAGGCATGGGTCCAGCTCTAGCCTTGCTCACTAGTGTGAGATCAGGCAGCAGAGATACAATCCAGTCTGACAGCCGCCTCAACTCCCCCTCTGAAGCAGGACTTGTCCAAACAAGATGAATGCCTTAGCCAATGCAAACGACTATGGAAAAATGGAAAAGACTAGAAGTCATATAGAGTCAAATTTCAATTTGAACTTCTCAGGGAATGCAATTGTGGAAGAGTGTGGGGAGGGGGAAAGGAAAACTTATTCTCTCTCTGTTCATGTTTGGAAAGAGGGAAAAAAAAACTTTTCCAGGCAGTGTGATTAAATTACAATGGCGATACTGATTCACTGCTATGTGAATCAGTAGTGCAGCAGCTACACATTGTATGGAGATGACTAAACAAGCAGCAAATCTGAAAACAGATTCTTTGCGTATATACGAGGTCTTCGTTATTTGCAAAAAAGAACAGATTCTGACATGAGTTTTCCACTATGCTCGTCGTTTGCCAATTACATTCCTTACTGAGAGCCGGAGCTTAAGGAATGCCCAACGCAGCAGAAAGCTCCTGTCACTCTGTTATTTGATGTCTTTGCCAATCATGGTTTATCCATAACAAAAACACCATCTTCCATCATAAGTGAGTTCTATGAGTGCACAGGGCACCCTAGGTCGCAGGTCGATGATCAATCAGAAATGCGTCTTATGCACTACTTTGTGTGAATGGGGTTCAGCGGTCAGCTGCTAACTATCATAGAACTATGACTTCCTTGACAGAATGGGGGTTGGTGAGTCTTTCCCCCATCAAGCCTTCATCTTTACCTTCTTCCACAAAAGTTGCTTTCTTCCCTGAACATGAATTATTCCTCTCAGTTTGTCATATTTATTCACACCATTTTCCCAACAGTGATCTCACAGTTTCACTAGCCAGAGCTTCCCCATCCCCCTCCGCCACACAGCGCTACAGTGCACATCAAGTATAATTTCAAGATAACAGAATCGCCAGAGCTTGCCTTGAGTGGAAAACCATAAGGCGCTTCTGCTGTGCCAAACCCTTGAGCTGGCTAGGCAATGCTGAATGAAAGACTAGCCAGTAAAGTTTTAATGGCAGCAGTTATACTCCGAGACTGCAGACAGATTTGGCATCAACAAGGCGCAAAGGCACGATTGCTTTAACAGAACTTTTGCGAGGAGCTTGTAAGTCTTCTGATAACTTCCGTATTTTACTCTACCAGAAAATTATATCTAAACAAGCCGGTTTTACATGCAGACATAAAATAAGCTATGGTTAGGCAGTGAACAGGACATCTTTCATAGGTGGCAGATACCCAGTCCCAGTGTCAGCATATTTTATCGTGTGCTGTGGGCAAAACCTGAACTGTTATAGGGGTTCAACAAAGTCCAGTGAGGCCCTGGAGTTTACTGGACTAACAGATTTGAGGAAAATTAAATGTGAAGTCATATTAAGAAACTGCCTTCAGAATGACATTTATTCTTCATGGTATACGTTTAACTAGGGGCTGGAAACATTTCTGAGAGATTTTGTTCCATATTTACATGATAGCATCACACAGTTTTGTCACATGTAAATCAATGATGCGAATCTCCTGTTTCACCACATCCCAAAGGTGCTTTATTGAATTGAGATCTGGTGACTGCATAATTCATTGTCATGTATAAGAAACTAGATGATTTAAGCTTTGTGACACAGCTATCCTGCTGTTATCCTGCTGGAAGCAGCCAACAGGACATGGATACGCTATGGTGTTACGCATATGGACATTACTAAAGGGACTCAAAGCGTGCCAAGAAAATATCCTCCACACCATTACACCATCACCAGGAGCCTGAACTGTTAATACAAGGCAGGATGGATAGAGCCTCAGTTTCAGTTAGCTCATAGGAGGAGCGGCACACAAGTGTGGTTTGCTGCTGTAGCCCATTTGTTTCAAGGTTTGACGTTTTGTGTGTTGAGATGATTTTTTGCATAGCTTGGGCGTAATGAGTGGTTGAGTTAATGTTGCCTATGAAACATCATGCAGACAAATTCACTGCATTTAAGCACTGTTACATTTTTTCTAAATAAAGAAGGTTGCATTGACTTTCAGGTAGGCTTGGTAGCAAGGTTACTATAGTTACATATAACTAAACTAAAAATTTAAACTAGATGTGAAAACATGTTCATTTAGACTCTGGATGTTTACAGTACTATAGCACATTATGGATCAACACTAAAACTAATAAAAATTAAAGTAAAACTAAACATTTTCAAACTGATGAAAATGAAAACTAGAAAAAAACTAATAAGAAAATACAAAACTATTATAACTCTGCTTGGTAGCCATTTAACTGATGGACTAAAAAAAAGCATTCAGTCGTGTCACATCCTGAAGGTGTTTTTGTACATGTGCATAAACTTGAGTTTGCTGAAATAAGCAGCTGCACCAGTATATAGGTCTCTTAAACCACAGATGTGAGAAAACTTTCTATGACATTTAGACTTTGTATTTATTATTCTTCTACCCGGTTACCACCATTAAAAACAGCATTGTTCACATTTGAGGATAAATGCTTATCACCTGCCCACCCCTCATTAGACTGCCAAATGGAATTTTTTAAAGATAATAAAAACTATTGGACGTAAAGTCCCTTTAAATAAGAGAAGATAAGATTTACCTGCAGGAGGTCATCGCTCAGGACCTCAGTTTTTTCAGCCCTGTGAAGAGAAACAAAGGCCAGTGGTCAAAGACTGAGGACATACAGAACACACCCGTGTCCTACAGCAATACAGGTGAGACACAAAAAGCTTGCACAAGAGAGTTATTATTGCATTTTACGACTATCCGGCATTGCCTTCATTTTTTCCTCAGGCTTCACTGTAGTAAAAACAGGTGTACCTCCTTCACGCAGTGTCATTGCAGGCATGTTAACCTGACTGGCCTGTTATGAGCTGAGCTTGGGTTTTTCCTCTCCTTTTTCTCCTGGTGGTTTTGGTGAAATATGAGACTAGTGATGCTGACATTATATGCACTTGTACTTATGTATAGTGCATTTATTGCTTTTTGTGTACAGCTCTCTATTGCTAAATAAACTCTGGGACTCTACAGACCTCCAAAGTTGAGCACAATCTACAGCACAACCAGTCTGCAGTTTGCACTCTGTGCTGTATGCCTGCAGTAAGTGAACAGAATAAGCTGAAATCTACAATCAGTTGTTATAATGATATACTTATTTGCTACTATTGGTACCCCCAGGCAGTGGATGGCAGCCCCTCCCCGAGCCTGGTTCTGCTGGAGGTTTCTTCTAGTTAAAAGAGAGTTCTTCCTTCCCACTGTCACCAAGAGTTTGTTCATAGAAGGCTGTGTGATTGTAGGGTCTTTACGTTGCACTATAAAACCACCTTGACTGGATTGTTTTTGTAAATTAGCACTATACAAATTAAAACTGAACTGGATTTGTACAACCACGTTGAACATCGATGCATAAATGTAATGCTGATCCCCCTCCTGGTCTAAAAAACACACTTCCCCAGGTGTCATCTGCACCGTGTTTGTTATGGCAACACGTAAAGGTGTGCCTTTTTCTATGAAGTGAGGAGGAAGTTGCCAGGTGGCCTGTTGATTTCTGAAACACACCAAATACATGCTGAACTGTCGTAGAGTCTGTGGAAAATATTATGGCACAACAGCTCTCCCACATTTCTAGGAAATGCTGACAAAAAGCCAAACCCTTTAAACATCAGCAACTGTTCTTTAGCCATTTGATTTACATCTCGCTCAGCTGGTGAGATTGTCAAAGGAGTGATTGGTTTCCCCGTCAATAAATCCATCAACACATACACAGATGTTGTGTATTTATGCACAAATCTCTGAAGGCCTGTCCCCACCCTCTAACAGCACCAGCCAAGAAACACACAGTAGATTTACACCTTGCAGGGGATAAAATAATCCGCTCACATGCAAGAATTATTACCCAATACTGACGTGGGACACAAAAATAAGATCTTCACATTACACTCTCAAAATGCAGTACAAGCTTACCTCACTCATGCCTGAAATACTCTCACTGTTTAGCGAAACTGCTTGTGGTGGCTGTCTGCTGTCTCGAGCTCAGATCACAAATAAGACCAATTCACATTGGTAAAACTTTGCAAAGCATAAAATTAATAAGTAATTTTTTGAATGATTCTAAAGACAACTTTTACTCTGAGCTGCTAATTATGCTGTTCAGTACTCCATATGCAGTCTCTCAGATATTAGTGCGAGAGTCTGTGGAAGATTAAAATGTGAGGCATTACAGTGGATCACAGCAGATGAGTCCTGAGTTCAAACCCGAGTAAGCCCTTCTTGTGAGAAGTTTGCACGTTCTCCCTGTGCTTGTGTAGGAAGATTAGTCTATGGTAATGCCCAGGACCGTCTTGCAAAGCAGTGACTCTAGAATGAAGCTGTGTGAGTGAATGTGCTCAATAAGACCAGAAAAAGTACCTGATATATGCCTCTCCATTTTCCATTTAATTAAATATCTCTAGGGTCTGGATGATGGGACACACCTCAAGGTGTACTTGTCAAAGCATCCTAATGAGGACCAGTCTGAGATTTAAAACCAATGCAGTCAGGACATTTTGAAAAAGTGGGGACCTTTTGGTTAGTCCTTACATCTCATCTCTTTAAAGGCCTGCTTGAGGGTGAAGAACTGGTTTTAATGTTATATTTATGTTACGATTAGCGTGAGGGTCAGTCAGTGTCTTCACAAAGATATTTACGCAAATGTGTGCATTTTTCTTGCCAATTTATTCCACATAGTCAGCATCAGATGTCCTAGCTACAAAATGGTTTTACCCAAACAAAGAAGAAACTGATTTAAAATAGAATATAGACAAATGGATACAAGTCAGTGACTCCAATGTATTAAGTAAACAGAAACTGAAAACAAGCCATTTATTAACATAATGCAGCTAGAATACCTCCACATGGATTCATATGACGTCATTAAACATTAGGCTTTACAGGCTTGTCTCTGAAGGAAAAAGCTGCATGAGCAATCTTTAGATTCCTATCAACACGGAATTAGAATCGATTGAACTGGAGTGGAGTGCAGCTTGGCTCTAGCCAGAAGCTATTGTTCTTAAAAAAACCGACAGCTGGAGCCGGACCTTGGAAAAAAAAAAAAAAAAAAAAAAAAAAAAAAAAAAAAAAAAAAAAAAAGGGGTGAAGGACAACTGTAACTGTAAAACATGCACCTGTAGGAAAACTGACCAAAACAAACACACAAAATCTTAAAAGCTGCTCGCAGAGATGGATCATATCATGTTTCACTGACTCAGTTTTGGTAAAGGACACTGTGTAAAAACACGCTACCCTGCCATCTTCTACCGCAATGCAACTACATCTAAATTGAATCGCTTCCTCTTATTATTCACATGCAAATGAAATCTGGCTTCCTCTTTTATAAAAAACGACTTTGTGGCTGCATGGCGGCCCGAACCCTGCCATGCCTCTGCTGTCAACAGCTACATAAATGCTTACTCCACAAAAACTAAAAACTGGTGTGTGTGTGTGTGTGTGTGTGTGTGTGTGTGTGTGTGTGTGTGTGTGTGTGTGTGTGTGTGTGTGTGTGTTCTCCAGTGTGTGTGTCTGTCAGTCCAAAAAACCACAAACCATCACAAACCCTCACGTGGGTGGACACAGATTTACTGGTTTATGATCTAGATCTTCACAGCCAGCTTAATTTCAATTCTGTCAAATTGTATTTGGAGCATTTATTAGCAGGAAAACCTTTTTTTGTTCTACCCCCGAGCTCGTGACAGAGATCTAATCTAGACCTTTATAACTTCAATTGATGGATTATGATGTGTGATCATGTGTAGCTTAAAGACTGGGGGGGGGGGGGGGTAAAACATTTAACTTTAATTTAACTTGAGTGCTTTCTGTGATTTTTTTTTCTTTTGTTTATTTTCTAGCTCCCACCCACTCTTACTTAAGCTGTGGTATTAATGGCACCCGAGGATTTCTTGCATGTTAAACTCGCCCAGCAGTAATCCAGAGTGGGTGTGGGCAAGCAAACTATTTTGCCTTTCAGTATGCAAGCTGTCATCCTGCCTGCTCAGTTGAGTTTTACTGCTCTTACACAACAACATGTGGAGTCATGTATGCAAGGAATCTAAGGCCAGCACCTGCAGGGTATCACTTCGAAACTAATCGACAGCAGTCTGGTTAATTAATACAGCAACAAATGGAGACACTGAATCAGAGACGCAGGAAGAAGGATGGTATACGTAGTTTGCCCTATCAACACCCATCAGGTAACATGCGTGTGAGCATATCCTACCCTGTAACTGAACATATACCACTGCACATGTGAGTACATAGTGCAGTAAAAGGTGGGGTCATTCTTGGGTCCACAGAAGGGCAAGGGGGACTGTTGACAGACTTAATTAAATAGGTGTTGATGACAAAAGTGAATTCAGAATCGAGGCCTCCTTCAAGTACACTAAAAGAGTGCAATATAGAGAGCAAATAGAAATATTTGTATTTATCTATTTAGCATATATTTAAGTCTCTCCATCCCTTACAGTGATGCCTCTTTATTAATATTTGCCACTGTTGTTTTATTGTTTGCGGTTTGTATGTTTTGATAGTATCACATGCATCCTAAGCAGGGCTTCTCTATTATTGATTATAAGGTAATAATGAGGATTTTTTTTTAATCTGTTGTAGCCATTCATATCCATTGAATCCACTGACTTAATGCTACTAAATTCAGATGTTTTCCCACAGTTACAGCCACGTACTTTTAAACCAAATCTGGAAAATCTACTTTTCAAACTTCTTGTATTGTTTAAAAAAAAACAAACAAACAAAAAACCCATTATTGTGGCATCTGGACAAGCTTTGTGTGCTTCTGACACAATTTCACTGCAATCTAAACCTTTAGAAATTCTCCAGATTTTTTTAATCACACAAAATCGTGGTCAGCCCCTCCGACACCGCCCACAATAAAAACCAGCCAGATGACAACAGGGAGACATAAATTAGAAGCGCTGGCCTAACACAATAATGTATGACATCACGTTGCAACAATGTTATGTAGCCTACCTTCCAACAGTCTGGTTGGCAAGTTGCTTCATACGATTAAACTGCTTCTTCATGTTGCAAGTCTCGTGAGCTTCTTCCTACAAGTCCGTAAAAAGTTTGCGGCACCAACGAACGCTGTCGATCATCCACCAAAAAAAAAAGGACAAAAAAAGTTGCGCTACGTCGCAGCCATTGTGCTACAAAGACCTGACTTCCGACCGCTTTTAGTCACAAAAACTGAACAGTTTTCCTGGTTGAACCCGGTGACATCGGCCGTTACCGTTAAGACGCGCAGGGAAGTGAGCAGAAACAGCGGCGGACGACCTTCAGGGTCCCCATTGCCAAGAATGTCAGCGCTCCTGTTAGACTGGCTGATTTCTCTACTACAGCTGTGATAGGAAGGAGGAAGTGCTTTTACTTCCCGCACTGGAAGCCGCATGGGCCCCGTGGTGACATGTGATACCTTAACATGAAAAAAACAGACTTTGGTCATTGCAAAGTCACATGCTTTAACGTGGGGATGAATTCTTCAGAATAAATATCAGAGTTTTAAATCGGGGGTGATTGTCAAGTAATGACAAATCAGAGAAACGTGACAGAAACTCATAAATGCAGTAGTATGCATGGTAGTGTGGTGCCAAAATATTTTTTTTTAAAAACGTGGTTGTGATGCACGTGAAAGCCATTAAGAATTAATTAACAATAGCAGAAAATTATACAACTTTAACCGCTGCTTCTGGATCAGTCCGGGTCACTGCTCACCCGGATTGTGACTAACTGTCTGATTTCAGATCAGTTCGTCACCAACCAGCACAGAGTTTTCCGGAGTGATCTGCCGCCACCTTGTGCCTGTCACGCAAAGGCTTTGTTCAGCAGTTCTTCACCGATCAGTTTCATTATTAGACTCATATGGGCACGACTGCCTGTCTGGGTGTGGGGGGTTAATGTGAATGAATGGTAGTCAAGGCGGTTGTAATTCTCCCAGCTAAAACCTTGTTAAAGAGCTCATAACTCTCTTAGCACCACCCCACCTTGATTATATTAGAAGGGCTGTTGATGGTCATTCCTGCTTGAGGAGCAATCATTTTACGGGAACTGTAGACCCTGTTTGTCACAGCAATGACTGGTAGGGACTATATGATCCCAATAAATTACAGCAAGCACGCAATCATTCCTGTGTGCCCTGAGCTGAAAACTTGTCAAACTCTGTTAAAGGTACTTTAAATGTGGTTATCTGCTGTTAAAGAACAACTAGTGCCATAAATAGTTTCTATGTATAAACTGTGATGTACTGCTGTGGGGAAAATGACCTTTTTTTAAAATCAGTTACTGGACTAAATTATCTTTAATTAATTATTCTGTGGGGTTTATTCTTGTAAACCTGCCCTTTCACTTTTGCTACTATCCTTCTACCACAATTCATCCTCACAAATCATCACCATCCTACCTGCACTCTTTTCTTCTGTCTTTGCTTTGGATGGTTGATTCCAGGTATTTAAACTCATTTACCTTCACTGTCTCCCTTTCACACACACGCACACATGTATTCTTTCCATCTCACTTTTGCTGACATGCAGGCTGACACCTATCCTATAAATACAAATAGTTCTAATAATTGTAATAAACTATAAGAAACCTTAAGAAACTGCAAACTACTCAGCATTGCTGTTTGAGTTGCTTTTCCTGTTGCCATGTGCACAATAGCTTCAGTTCTCCTCTGTGACACAGGAACTTTTTCATCTTAATGAATGACTGAGCTGTGCCGTGTCATGAAATTTAAGTGAACTTAAGTGATCCAAGGTAAACACTGTGCTCTGAGAAGACACGTAAGAAATTTGACCTTCAGGGGGAAAGAAAAACAGACAAGTCTGAACTTTTCATTTTCAGGTAATACGTCATCTCTGCATTCAGTGCCCTTACACCCTGCTTTGTCCTAATCTTCCCCTGTCATGAAAAAAAGGTAATAAAGAAACCTAATCAGCAAATACATTACACATTTACCTTAGCGAGTGCTCTCTCGCAATGTCAGGGCATGTTGTAAATATGCCTTCTTGCCGACATATTTATAGAAAAAAAAGTCAGTTAAGCATCATTGCCAGATAATCTGACAAAGACAAAAGGAAAAGAACAAAAAAGGACACAAGAAAAAAAGCAGAAAGTTCATTATGAGTAAAAAAAAAAAAGCCAAACAAGTAACACTGGTAGTTTTATGACTAACACTAAATGTGATGACAGAGACTGGGCAAAACAACTTTTCTTTCCTATACAATAAAATTAGACGTCTTTCACATTAGTAAAGGTGTGTGTGTTTGTGTAAAGTTTTTGCATTCTCTCACTGGCAGTGTTGGAGACAAAACAGTACAACGCTTCACACTGCAGTAGGTTTAATTTCAAATCAGAGTTACAGCTGATGATGGAACTCAGTTCACCAGCCTCTTCTTCAAATACAAAGAAAAACATGTTGTTTATCTGGAGATTAGGTTGGGATTTGTGTGTTAGACTGTATCTGCAATTTTATTTCAGCTTCAAATTACCAAGAGCGCGATAGAAAGTAATGTTCAACCAGATGCTGGAATGATGGCAATAAGACACAACTTTATAAAAGCTCTCAGACTGATGCCCTTTGTATTTTTTTTTATTAAAGCTTTGGTCAGAATTTGATTATTTCAAACACAAATGCTGCCCATTTTCAAAAGGAGACCAAATAGCGATCTTTTCAGAGCGAAGAAACATCTCTGCTTCAGCTTTGTGTTGCTGCTACCCATGTCCCAGGTCTCTATAGCGGGAGCGGTGAATGCCTGCTCGGCATTGGAGGGTCTCATGCTGTTTCCATATTGTACCCCTGGGCCTCCCCACAGCAGTGGCCCACATGGGAAAGCAGACCAGGCGGCGGGATAAACCAATTACCCCCCAGTCTGGGTGGACTCCTGCCGGCGCACCACGCAGCAGCTCCGGGCCGAGCCCTCCTAGGCTCGATCCCCATGAGAGCCTGCTGGAATTCCCAGAGATGAGAATAGTGTGGTCTCAAAGGCCTGCAGAGAGACTATATTTTGCTTGGAAATTTGACATGGTGGCCTCCTGGGACAAAGCTGAAGGAGGAGACTTCAAACTGTGCTTCCGTAGGATTAAAAAAAAACATTTGTGGAATCCTTCATTTTTGTGGACCATTCATCAACATTAGGCACTTTTAGACCTTTATCCACTTCTTATACTCACAGATATCTCTGCAGAGACACATGCGAAGAAAATGGGCTTTTTTCTAAAACTCTGATCTCCAGAAATATTACCCATCTGCTAGAACTATAATAAAATATGCACATAACAAATTATATTTTCTACAGGTAATTACAAATTAACTTTTACTAAATGAGCACATTTTGGGTCTATATGCTGCTGTGCCTTGGCAGAAGCAAATATGAATACTAACAGGAATGATGGAGAAAAATCTCAACTAGAATATGAAACTGAGCCTAAATGCGCAAGAAGAGAAAATATTTATGGAGTTAAAGAAAACAGAGGGCTCTCCTCTCCTCTGACTTCTTGCATTCATGAGCCCTGATGGTTTCTAGATGACAGCAGCCGTGACAATGGTCATTATGTCTGCCAGAGGCCTAGTCGCCGCAGGGCCATTGTGTGTGCCCCATTCACCACACAGTCATTTACACTTTCATTGGCAGCTATTTAGTCCTCATAAAACGTTCAACACACCAATTTGTGAGCCCTGCTCAGCCAAGGAGAAGTGTGGAATAGGCTCAGAAAGCAGTTGCTTTAAAAGTCAATTAATTGTTCCCTTCTCCTGGGAGGGGCTGAAGGGGAGGATCCCCGGGCTTCAGGGGGGCCTCACATCTGTCTATTCATCTTCTTGGGCCATGATGCACAGGCCACACGGCTCAAAAGAAACGCCCGATTCAGTCTGCTCAGAGTTGTGGCCAGCTAAGATTCTGTAATTCACTTCGAGGAAGGGTTATCCTATTATCATAAGAATCTGATTCCTGGGCGAAAAGATGTATTAAAGAGTGAAAGAAAACAAAAATGAGCTTGAAGGGAACTTTGGCACTAAATCCTCTTCTGTGCAGACAGATATTTAAAAAAAAACACAGATTATGCTGCATGCAATGAGAAAGTGGGTGGGAAGTCATTTAAGTCATCACAAAGGCACCTTTTAAGAGGCCAAAGCATATTCTGTCTAAACAGAGGGCCTCATGAAATGTCTGTTTTATTCATTGATCATGAGCTCATTGCACTTCTCAACACTTCATCAGACACAGTTATGAGCTGACCACAACATCTGTGCAAACTGTTTAAAAGAGTGTGTAAAAAAAAAACCCATCTGTGGATTGATTGTGTAAATAATGAAATGTTGATTTATCTGTTACAAAAAAACATTCTTCTGAATAACAGTCTTTATTTTATTTGTTTTAAAATGGCAAAATGAGCACATGAGAGCGACAGAGACGTGTAGACATATTTGATTTATTTAAAGCTCAGCAATCCGGAGTCTCAGTTGTTTCTAGATTTCATCCACTCTCCAACCGAAAAAAAAAAGAAAGGAAATAAAGTAAAATATCTACGGCAAACATCTCCAGCTGCAAGAAAAAAGATCACTGCACTGCGATCCTGAATCAGAAAGAAAAGAACTGCCTCGTGCAGGATCCAACAGACAGGAGTAAACACAAAACAGATGATTTCACAATGCTGTAAGTGATAAAACGTCGTATATATGTACACTCCTATTCAGTAAAACAAACTGGCAATAATAAATGGCTGTGCACCCTCCTGCCTCAGTTCATAGGGCAATTGTCACAGAGAGGCAGCAAAATGAACAACAGTTAATGCAGGGAGAGGCACAAAAAGAGAGCAGCAACTCAACCCCTCCTTATTCTCCCAGGACTGAGGGCATTGATGGAAGAGAGACAAAGGCCGGCCCTCTCTGAGCTGCAGTGCAGGAGGCCCTGCTGGTTAACTCTATTCTCCTCCTCCAAATTAGTTTTTATCACCAGCATTTCAGCGGCTTTTCCCTGCTGGTGCCACCTTGGTGGAACGTGACAGCAAGGATCTGAAGTGCGCCAGTGCAGAGGTGGTTAGACTTCTCAGCTCAGTATTGCTAAGATGACTCGCGCACACACACGCACACACACACACCTCCTCAGTCTAAAGGAAAGTCGCAGGAATTCTGGCGTGCCGTTCGGGCATTGTGGTAGACAGACAGGAAGTCTTTGTATCGCGGGGCACACCCTAACCAAGCTTCCCCAAAGTGTTCCGACCCAGTGAAAAGAAACTCTCCGTCTCCGGGCTTGACGTGGCACTGCAGGAGTGTGTGGATGTGTCCACGCCAGGACTGACATGACACCAGTGGATCCAGATGTTGCTCAAACACTCCACTGCGCTGCCAGTACACCCTCAGCGCTGATACCTCCACTGAGGAC